CCCCTCCCTCCCTCCCTCCCTCCCTCCCCCTGGTGGCGTGGCCTTGTCGGCCTGCCCAACTTTCTCCTTCCTCCCCCACTGGTGGCGGCGGCAAGGCCTCGCCGGTCAGCCAAGCCTTCTCCCACCACCCCTCCCCTTCCACCACCGCCGCCGAAGCCATTCCAAGCTCGTTCCCTGCCCATGCGCAGGTGACACTTTTTTACTTTTTGGGGGATTTCAGTATCCCCCCTATAGTTTTTTACAGTTTTTAGATTTTTATGCACATCTGGTGATCGCCCCAGATGTGCAGGAAAATCTCCCTGCCCCCCAGGTGCCCCCAATGTGCGGATTTAGATATCCGCACGCAGGGGGCGCCTTCGCTATTAGATATATGTCATTTATGTTGTATGTTAGTTGCCTTGGTGGCCCTTATACGGGTAGAAAGGGAAGATACAAATTTTGTAAATAAATAAAATAAATAGAATCATATGATAAACCAAGATATTGCAACATTTATTGATATCATATAAAGGCCACTAAAAAGGAACATTTTACAGGTTTCCTAAAAGTAGGGAACTAGTGGCACAGACAAACCTTTGGCAATGAGGCAAGGGTAGCATAAAGAGAGGAATTCTAGAATCCAGAAATCACCACTGTAAAGGCTGTTGTCTAAATTGTGATACTTGAAGCACCAATAATCCCTTGAGATTTTAAGGGTTTTATATAGGATTTCACTATAATGAAGCTATAATTCCAAACAAATATTCTCATGAATAAAATTGGTGGAATTTAGCCTTGAGTGGATGATTATAGGACAGAGCCTTTGCTCCAGTCTTGAAATTTGTTCTAGTTTTCATAAATGTGTGTGGTTGGTAGGATCATTCTCTTCCACTACATCTCATCTCCCCCCTCCCCCAATTCTCAAATGGAATTAACTACCTCTTTCATCAGCAACATGTTTACATGTTGTGAAAGACTGTGTTTCGCTTCCTAAATCTGATGTCAGAGTTAACAAATTCGGTCAATGAATTTTCAAAGTGAACGATGCCAAAATTCTGGCGCACAATTTTTTATGCAGCAGATGGCACTGTTAATGTCTGAAATAGGAAAGGAATCTACTAATAAATTATATCTGTGCTATGGTGTTGAAACATCTGATGAAAAATTAGTGCAGACTGGTTATTGGTGTTTAGGTCATTTCACTTAGAACATATAATGACACTTATCTTTTCATGAGCTCTTACAATCTCTGTACTCTAGCATGATGGACTATGAGTAACGAACATCTTGGAAAATATTGTACATGACAAAGGATATTTAGAAGACAGTGGTATGGCAACATCCTGCATAAATAATAGAGGGTTCTGAATAATAGAGGGTTCTGAATGTGATGGTTAGTTTATCAGCAGATGAGTTCTGATGACAGTTAAAGAGAAGAGCTTTTCTTTTGCATGTTCTCAACAATGTTAAATCTATGAATATATTTCCAAGTCATAAGTGGTACAAATTAGGGAAATTTAGTTATTTGAATGGGCTTTAATATTCCTCATTGTGCTGTATGGTGCTAACATATGATAATTAACTCTCAAGTTAGTTTTGCCAACCTCCAGGTGGGGCCTGGAGACCTCCCGGAATTAGAATAGATCTCCAGGCAACAGAGATCAGTTCCCCTTGAACAAATGGCTGCTTTGGAGGGTAAACTCTATGGAATTATGCCCCACTGAGGTCCTGCCTCTCCCCAGGCTTCACCCCCCAAATCTCCAGGTATTTCACAAACCAGAGTTGGCAACACTATCTCAAAGAGTTAAATTCTTCTTTGGATTCATACAGAAAGCATTTTTATTTAGGGCTTTTTTTTAGAGTACACTTTACCTGTATTTCGATGATCCCCACATTTTTCCTACAGCAGGTGACATGTTATTTTCTAAAAATGTGTAGTCACTAGAAATTTGACCTTAAGCTGTGAGGCATTTGTGAGCTTTTTCACAGATAAAGTTTCGTTACTCTGCCGCGACCTCCCATCCAATATTGATACAGTATGTGAACTGGAGGCCCCTTGGCCGTCTCTGGATTCAGTTTTTGACACCTTCTGTCGGCTGTCCCAGGCCGATATAGCCAGAATTCTGGGTGCTGTTAGGCCGACCACTTGCCTCCTGGATCCATGCCCCTCAAAGCTGGTGAAGGCCAGCAACAAGAGGTTACGAGGCCCCCTCGGAGATATGATCAACCTGTCCCTGGGTTTTGGGACTTTCCCAGGGGGCTGAAGGAGGCTGTGGTTGTTCCGCTCTTGAAAAAACCAAATGCAGATCCTATGGATCCAAGCAATTAACTGCCCAATCTCGTTTCTGGGTAAGGTAATTGAAAGAGTGGCGGCCGAACAGCTCCAGAAATTTCTGGAGGATGCTTCAGTGTTGGATCCATTTCAATCAGGCTTCTGCCCCGGCCACGGGATGGAGACGGCATTGGTCACCCTCACAGACAATCTCTGCAGACAGCTGGATCGAGGCAGGTCAGCACTGCTGATACTACTTGATCTCACAGCAGCATTCGATACAGTTGACTACTGACCCACCATCTCGTTGACATTGGAATCCATGGGACAGCCTTGCAATGGCTCACCTCATTTCTCCACGGTTGGGGACAGAGGGTGGCGCAGGGAGGGACAGGGTCCTCAAGATACCCACTGGAATGTGGGCTCCCTCAGGGGGCACTTCTCTCCCCAATGTTGTTTAACATCTATATGCACCCCCTTGCCCAGCAAGTGTGGAGTTTTGGGCTGGGATGCCATCAATATGCTGATGACACCTGGCTATACCTGTTGATGGGTGACCGGCCAGATACCATTCCAGGGAATCTTGCCGAAGGCTTGGAGGCTGTGGTGAGATGGTTAAAACCAAGTCAACTGAAACTGAATCCAAGAAAGATGGAGGTTCTGTGGCTGGGTGGGAGGGAGGCTTGATTGGGTTGCCAGCTCCTGACTCTTGAGGGTGTGCCTCTATCACCGGCACACACCATCAGGAGCCTGGGCGTAACTCTGGATTCCTCCTCCATGGAAGCCCAGGTTGCGAAGGTTGACAACCTGGCATTTTCCCAACTTTACCAGGTCAGGCAGTTGGTTCCCTACTTGTCTCGCCCCAGCCTAGCCACAGTAATCCATGCAACGGTCACCTCCAGGCTGGATTACTGTAATTCGCTCTACGTGGGCTTGCCCCTGTGCCTGACTTGGAAGCTTCAACTGGTCCAAAATGCAGCGGTGCAGGTCCTTAAAGGAACCCCTCGTACAGCACATATTCAACCAGTGCTGCATGAGCTGCACTGGCTTCCAGTGGAGCACCGAATCAGGTTCAAGGTTCTGGTTTTGTCCTTTAAGGTTCTTAGTGGACAAGGACCTATATATCTTCGGGACCGCTTCTCCCAGTATGCCCCTGGAATACTATGCTCAGGAAATAAGAACTTGCTGGTGGTTCCCGGCCTGAGAGAAGTCTGGCTGTCCTCAACCAGGACCAGGGCCTTTTCAGCTTTGGCCCCTGCCTGGTGGAACGCTCTGCCAGAAGACATTTGTGCCCTGTGGGAGCTGCCACCTTTCCACAGGGCATGTAAGGCAGAGATGTTCCACTGGGCTTTTGGTTGAGGGCAGCGATGGGACTACTTCTGGCACTCTCATGTGGTTCCTCATTCCTCATAGCCCCTCCCCCAGGGAGGCCAGGGAGTTAGGATTTTCCACCATCTTAAGTATTGTATATATACTTTTTAAACCTATTGTTATTTATTGGACTGTTTTTAATGTAGTTGTACGTGACTGTTTAATACTGTTGTAAGCTGCCCTGAGCCCTGCTTGTAAATAAATAAATAAATAATAATAAAAAATAAGTGCATGGAAATTATACCTATTCAAAACACTTTGTTTTTTACTCATAAATTATATTGGAATTTTGTATGTTACTCTTTTTTTTCAGGCAATGGGCCTCACCATGATCGATGCAGTGTTTATAACCCAAGCAACTTGGTTGATGGAGTTTATTGCCTCCCAATAGGGCACTGGATTGAAGTTTCTGGACATACTGATGAGATGAAACATACAACTGACTTTTATTTTAATATAGCTGGACATCAAGCTATTCACTACTCCAGGTAAAAATAGAGAGAGAGTGTATTACTAATGGTCTTAGGTTTTTATGGGTATATAAGGAAGATGATCCAAGGGAACTAACAGTGTGAACCTGAGTATATTTTTTTCAAAATAAATTCATAGTTCCATAGGACTTACTCCCCAGTAATTGTGCCTAGGATTGAAGGCATAGTTCTTCATCTGTATGCTGGATGTCTAAAGAACTTGTTCTATATTTTGCTGATGGTACAATAAGCCTCCTTATGGTCACACACAGCTAGCAGCACATTAGACACATACTTTCACTACATGTCTCAGGCTGCGGTCACACATGGGAGAAAATGCGGGCGGGAAGCGAGGCAGTTTGCCCTGGGCTAAAATGACGCACATTTGCACGATCACACTTCTGGCTGTGCGCCCTGCAGTTCTGGATAGTAGAAGGTTTTCCGCAGTGGCTTTTTGCCTTGCTCCTGTGGCACAATATGACACCCCACCGACGACTCTGGGACGCTGGACAGCTGTGTCTGTCTGATCGCGCCCCTTTACTCTGCGGGGGAATTGCACCGTTGCCACCGCTTTTGGTACGTATGATTGCACCCTCAGTCTTTTCCCCCCAAAAGTTTTCTGCAGTTATAAAGACCAGGAATTTGCATTTTATATAATGAAAAGAGTTTAACAGATACACATCTGAATTTCTTGTGGCCTTGGAAGACAGTTTTTCAGTGCTTATGTGAAGTATAAAACAAATTATATGTCTTTCTCACTGGAAAGGTCAATAGTGAAGAATTAATCTGTATGAAAATCTGGTCAGGTAGTTTCCTTATGGAATTCTAAGGATTTATGACATGTCAAATGACAGTAATACTAGGATGTGGTATGTCTGTTTTAACAGTAAATGCTATCTGCATTATTTGAAGTATCAAAGGGTAGTCCTTTGTGCTTTCCTCTGTGTGTGTGAATATAAATGTCTGGCCAACAAGATTCTGATAGTATTATGTACCATCTGTAGACTGGAAGGTGATTGCTGATTCAACATGTTGACTAATACCTGTAATAACAAATGCCAGATGTTGACCCATGGAGGAATAAATATAAAAAAAACCCAAAGAGACAAGATAAGGCATTTGCTGTCAGGCAGAAATGATCCAAGTCAGGAGCTGGCAGCGGAAACAGAACCCAGAGTCATATTCAGAAGGCTGGGCAGCAGTAAGTGTCAGAGTGGAAGACAGGTACAGAGCCAGAAGCCTGTCACTTGGAGATAAGCAAAGTTTGGTTCTTGTAAATTAGGCCAGAAAGTTGTAATAATGCAGATGCAAAATGCTTCCTGGCAACCCTTGTGACTGAGAATAACTAACATAAAACAAACTGGATGGAGCTATGAATTCACCATATGCCAAAATTTGCTCTCTAAATATTCTTCTCTGTGAAATTCGGTCGAGTTGTAACTAATACCTAGAAAAAGTTATATAGTAAAGCAGAAGGAATACCGCACCACTTATTTTGTATAACAATGCTCATGTGTGAAGGAGACACCACTGGTATATATATATATACAGTTGCAGACTTTGAAAGGAAGCAGAAAGACAGATTTGCCATTTTGTCTGTACTAAGGAGTCAGCCCTTGGTAAAGGAGAGGTATCAATCAAGACATAATAAAATGTGATCTTTTTGATAGCCTTGGTTTGTTTAAAGTCTGTGTAAAAGCAATAGTAAAATATATATAACTTTCCCACCCACATAAAATTCCAATATAGCTCTAATTACACAAAACAGCAAATAGCCCATTCCCATATGTTGTAACAGTCATGGGTAGCCAGACTAATAACGCCCCAATGAACATCATGGTGCAGGTGCATATCCTCACCAGCTATGTGGGCAATAGCTTATTCTGCATGGAGATCTGTGTTGCTTAATCAAGGTTTTGTGTTTCAAGCACGAGATATTTAAACAAATAAAGAACAATAACCGAAGTAATTATTTAAAACAGCAAAGGGGTCAGTAGATGGTGGTCTGCAATCCAGATGCAGCCATTAGGTGTTGTCTAATCCACCAGATTCCAGTCATACATCCGATGGTTTTAGTTTCAAAGAATCAATGACAGCCATCCCTAAAGACTCTTGACAATGTAGCCTTGATGCAGGTTTGATTGCTGGCCATTCATATGTGAATATGTGCAGTGGTATTTCAGTGCCTCAAGTATAAATTTTGAAAATGGACGCTAAGCTTGAATGGGAATGCCACCTTGGAGACTGGTATAAAAAGTTTTCAAGACTGTTTTGTTACTTACCTCAGAAAGGGTCTTGTGCTCAAAAGACATTGGATTTTATCTCTTTGAGAAGTGGATTATATGAAATATTTTTATGGTAAAAGATTTTTGTGGTTCAGTGGTTTCTACTTTAGTTTCTGTCATGCTTCTTTGCTTTGCATCTATAAAACCCATGGAGTCAGATTATTCTGAAGGCTATTAATACTCTTACTCATCATTAATAAAATTCAAGCCAACACTGGATTATGCAACCTGAAGCTCTGGAAGAAAAACTATCTGTTTTTGTTTGATTTCAACTGAGTATGAAAAATGAAAAAGAAATCTTTTCAGCTGTTTAAAGAAAAATAACCTGTGTACTAAGTGTCACCCTAGAGTGATTTTTTTTTTATTGTTGAATTATAGCGTGAACTGTGGTGAGGAAAGGAATGACTTTTAAATGGAATTCAGTGAGCTGTGCCATTTGAGCAGAAACCTAAAATGATGCCCTGTGGTTAAATAATTAATTAAGAACAGAGCTATGATACCTATTGGGATTTCTCCTTTTTGGAACTAGATTCTGAGGCCCATTTCCCCCCTCTTTGGCTATAGGAGTTCAATAGTGACTGCATCAGTAACAAGGGCTCAAAGATAATGAGCTACAGAGGAAAAGGCATTGATTGTATTGTAAGTTTTAAAGAGAATCTAGATACAGGCTCTCATTTAAAATGAGGGGACAAGACTTGGGTTGCTTTTAATGCATGCTAATGGGTTTATCCTGGGCTTTTGGAAGTTGGTGAAAATCTTGCCATTGATTTCAGACTGAATAGCATTGAACTTCCTAATGACTCAGGAAAGTTAAACATATTCAGTATGTCATTTATCAATTAAATGGCCCAAATAAGTAACTAACAATGCAGTCCTATGCTGAGTCATTCCAGTCAAAGCCTACTGAAATCAATGACCTTGAACTGGAGTAACTTGGCGTAAGATTGTGCTGTAAATGACAAAAGCAGTGTAGAACAGAGTTGTATAAAGTAATGTCAACATAAAGATTTCAGTTGTTATTATTAGGCTGTAGTCTCAAAACTACTTATAGGTAATTTGCAGCTTGACCCTATAGACCTTTACTTAGAAGACCCACTGAGGTAAAATGTTTGAATATGGCTCTGTATTAAGTATTGTCCATATAAATTATGACTTAGTCCGAAATGTGCACATAGGATTTATTGTATTCATTTGATTTTAAAATATATCCTACTTTCCTCCTAAAAGCCCTAAGTAACTGATAGCAGATCAGTGAAAGATTACTGCATTAAAACCTATCTTTCTAATAGATACATGGGGGGAAAACCCTATACACAAAAAGATTGGGTTGGTTGTCATCACTATGTGGATTACACCAAGCCCTGTATTTATCTAACCAGGGTTGTAGCCAGGGGGGGGGGCACATGGGGTGGTGCCCCCTAGCACATCTGCAGTGCCACCACTCCAATCCCCCACCCTTGTGGGGAGGATGGGCACCTTATGGAGAGGATGGAAGGAAGCATTTCTCCTTTGCAGCACTGAAAGAGTTAAAATGAGCAAGCTGCTTCCTAGAGAAGCCGAGCAAGGTGGTGAAGAGGAAATGGTCTTAGGGAAATGTGCCTTTGCTATTTTTTTGGGGCCCCCGAAGGGGATTCTTTTAATTACATTTTTCTAAAGACTACAAATCTACAATGAAAATGAGGGAAGGGAACTACAATTAGGGATAAAGAAAAGAAAACCCACTACTATCTAAAATCCCAAGAGAGGAGATCCTCAAAATCTCTTAAGTACAAAGTCAGTTCTAAACTCGCTAACAATTTTTTGAACTTAGTGAGGTCTGCTATTATAACTTTTAAATCTTAAATTAACTGTTGAAAAGAAAAACCCCAGAGCATATCATTATAATCAACCCTTTTCAAAGGCACAATACAGAGTCCTTCAGCCTTCATTTCTTCTTATCCTGTCTTCTTCGCAGTTTATAAGGACTTTTAGGAGCCGCTACTCCCTTCTCTGACAGAGAGTCCTCTCCAGAAGACCCCGAGTCCAGCTCGCCACTGGACTTACTGTCCTCTTTATCGCCTTTCTCTTGCTCACCCAACTGGATTTTCAAAAAGTCCCAAGCTTTGGAAACAGAGTCAATCTTTTCCTTTTTATCTTGAAGTTTGAAGGTTATGCCCTCTGCATACAGCCCCTGATAGCTGATTGCGTTTGTTTGAAGAAAGAGGATTAAATCTTTGTATTTCCTTCTCCTTTGTCTTATTTCAAATGGGATGTCTTTAAGGATCCTGATGGTGCTGTCCCCGATTTTCTTTTTCTTTTTTTTTTTGAAAATTTATTTTCCAAGTTTTCACCTTTACAATCCACAAAATCTGTACACAGATAATCAAGATTAGGTCATTTATACATATTTTTTTAAAAAA